TCCAGTTCAGCTCGCGTATCTCTTTCTCCCTTCATTTCCACTCTGTATCACCTCCCTCCATCAACAGGTAGTAATGAATTACTCCTGAGCCTCGAAGCTTTGTGTCTCTTTAATAGAGCACTTTGCAATGAAATTTGGGTAGTTGGTTGCACGTTGGCCTCCAGAACCAAATTATAATATCCGAAGGCTGAGGACAGTCTTACTCATTTCTTTGTATTTATAGCTCCTAGCACAGTGCCCTGTTGAACTCAGTTGTTACTTTAAAGGTTAAGCATACATTCTGCATTTTGGTTCACACTGATAATATCTCAGATATTCTAAATAAGCATTACAAAGTTAAAACGTCACACAACTTTAAGGTTATTCATCATAAATTGCACTTTGAGAGAGTCTAAATTAAACAGGTATTGGTGTATTTATTTCACTTATTTTCTATAATAGAGGGATTGGTCCAGGGATTAGAATTCAAGTTTGGTGCCCAGGAAGACCATACCATGTAGGGGTTGGGAATCTTGGAAACTCCCCCCCCCGCCCCCAGCCCTTCCCCTTCCCTAGCCCCATCTTGGGTTTCAAATAATGGTTCCTTGGAGAAAGAGAGTGAGAAAGCATATTCCAGTGGTGCTTTCGGTTTAGTGGTGGAGATTCCTGTTTTCTTTCTAAAAACATGTGTTGCATGCAGGTGTTCATAGAGGAGGGTGCCATGACCTGTCTGTACTTCACTCAGGTCTCAGGTTCCTGGAGTGTGAATTGGCCAACCCACATGAGCTAGCTTGGTTTCACGAGAGCTTGTGAACAGACTAACCCTTATTTTTCAGGGACTAGCCATGGGTTCTCCCGGCCCATTCTAAACATTGTTTCTAGGGCATCTGTCTCCCTGGGCAGAGTATACCACTCCCCGGAAAAACCTCTGGTTCTGCCAGAGTCAGAAGGCTTGGTTGCTTACATTTAACTTTGAGGCGCCTGGCACACTCAGCGAATTCCTGAGCTATTTGAAAGGGAAGGTAGAAGCCGCAGAATTGTTTGTTGCTGTGGTTAAAATCTCTGTTATAAAGTTATAAGAGGTTATTCTAATCTAGACAGTAGAAGTGTTTTTAAATGCATTGGGAGGTTTTGGATTACATTTAGCTGGCAGAAAATTTTGCACTTTGGCAAAATAACACCTGGGAGTTGTTTTGCAGTTGGTAGAGGCTTTGAGGAATGGGCCTCTGGCCTGCAGACCTCCAAGCACCACTGTCAGCTGCAGGTGGGGGAACTGAAAGGGTCAAGGAATCAGTGGGAACTCATAGAGACTGGCTTTGGAGGATCTTTGACCTTTTCTTTAAACTTCCTTGGTAGTGAGACCATCCTAGAGGATAATGCCCTGTTCTCCATCAGTCAGCAAGTAGTAGGAGAGTGCGTACCTCATATACTGCTTGCAGAAAGTAGCCAGTACATGCCTGGTGCCTGTCTTCAGGCTTCACCAGGGCAGTGCACTAGCTTATATTGAATGACTGCTGGAAAGTGCCAGGCAGTTGATGTGTAAGGGCTGAGTTGTGTGCGTCAGATCATAATTGCTGTGGCAGTGAGGGAAGGAAGGCCACTGTAGGGGAGAGGTATTCTAGAGGAGGTCAACTTTCTGGGGTGAACTTTAAAGGACTTGGAGAGAGGAATGTGAAGCTAGAAGATGAGCTTCACAGACAGGTCTCTAGCCTTCCTTCAGGGCAGGAGCCATATGAGCTGCGCCTGTCCCTCCCCAGAGGGAGACCCCACAGAGGGCTGACTGCTTTACGCTGACCTTAGCTTGTTTTCCGTTGGTTTGCCACTTTCCCCACACAGACTAAAGCTGTGTGAGTGATAATCCTTAGACAAGGTACTGGTTTGAAAGAAGCAGGTGACTGCAAGTTACTAAGTCAAGAGGACCTTATATGGAAATAGTCTTTATGAAGTCCCTAGAGGCAACTGCATGTACATATTACACTGTTGAGCCAGCAGAATCTTTGATTGGCGGTGGACCTGCCCTGTTACTTAGCCCCTGGGCCAAGCCTTGCAGGGGCTTACTGGGTGGGAGTGGTACCCAGGAATCTCCCGTGGTTTCTCACAGCTCTTGCTCCTGGAAATGGGGCACTGCTAACAAAGAAAACAGCATTCCCCCTCATGTCACATGTGTACTCCCAGTTTCTCATTTCAGATAGCCTTGACCCTATGGGTTAGATCATGTACCCTGCATTTTGCATAAGAAAATAGGCTCAATTTGTGCTATAGGAGTTCCTAGTGAAGATTCTGGACCAGAATAGGAAGGGAAGGGTTATGGACATGTGGGATTAGGGATGAGCCCTCTTTTACATTTTTGCCATGTGGCCCAGGAATCTGATGCAGACCCTGTGATATACGTTATTGTCATTCTACCTTGTTTTACAAGTAAGGAAGCTAGAAGTAAAAATACTTCCTTTAGGGTGTGTCGGTGCTAGTATAGTTCAGTTGGTTGTCTCTTGGTTTAGTGGAATGGGTGATGCCCGGGCCTGTCTGTCTGCAAGGTCCATTCTGATCATCCCCTGGGCTCTTTCTTCAGCTCCGAGGAATGGGGGCTGTGGTGGGAATGTAATTCGGTGAATGTGTGGGCCACCAAGTGTGTGCAAAAAAAGATATCTAAAATGACTGTTGTGCAGTTGGGCATCCTTTCCGGGTGTGCAAATGCCTGGGTTTGTGTGTGTGTGTGAAGTGCATTAGTTCTTTCATAATATTGAGGCCTGTAGAAAAAATGGTGAAATGTGACATATCTTTGGTGCCCTCTGTGCCTGGGCCCCCTTCAAGGACTGCTCTTTGTATAGTGTTCTGTGGCCTGGAGCCCTTGAACCTACTACTCTCACTTGGCAGGCCACTGGATAAGGGGTGGAAAAGCAATTTCTACCAGTGTTGCAATTTCTACCAGTGTTGTGGTGACTAGGAATGGCTTAGTGCAGGGGTTAATTAGGCTCCATATTGAAAGCATATATCTATACACACACACACACACACACACACACACAACACCCTACACATTCCTTTATATGCGTGTGCATATACGTATATACATATATCCTTAGTTAGGCCTCAATTTTATTAGCAGTTTACTCTCTATTATCACTTAAAATTCTTAGTCATGTACCGGCTAGTATCACCCAAAGTTGTAATATTCTGGCACATGCCATTCCTGACCCAGATCTACTGGAAGAAAACACCACTCTTTCTTTTGTTGAAGTGTGTGGGTCTTTAGCTCCTCTCTTGCTCCGATTTGGTGGGGAGTGGGACTGAGGGTGCAGAAAGGTGTTCTGTGTGTTCTTTGTTTTTTTGCCTATGTGCACTGTTATCCCTCTAGCTTAAGGCTTCTCCCTTGGGCTGCACATTGGAATCATCTGAGGGGCTTGATGAAATACAGATGCCTGGGCCCTATCCCGGGAGATTCTGCTTGAATAGGTCTGCGTGAGGCTGGGTATTGGGCTTTTAAAAGTTCCCCAGGTGATTCTAACGTACGGCCAACATTGCACCTTGCACCTCTCCCAGTTGTCCACCAACATTTTCCACCTGCCTGAAGTGGAAGCCTGGTCAGAATTTGCCTTTGGATCTGGGCTATCTATGATTCTTAATTTTAGCCCTAGACTTTTAGATTTATAGATGTAGAGGATGGGGCCCAGAAAGGGGCTGAGTTTTTTTCCAGGGTAGTCCTTGCAGGTTGACCAGAAAGAGAACACTGACAGATACTTGTCATAGACATTGGAACTGTAATTTTAGACTGATCTTCATATAATATGTCATTCATACTCGGTTTATATTTATTTTTAAGGTGAAAGTCACAACTACATTATTTATTTTAACTTTATAAGATAAATATTCTTGTCAAAATCTTTTTTCTCTCTAGTCCAAACAGGCCTATGATACATGTGAGCACACATACAAATATTATTTCATGTGTTGAGGTAGAGAAACTCAGAAAGGAGTACATTCCCATCTTATGGACTCAGAATAATTCCTCCTGGCTTTGGCCTTGTCCAGGATTGGAATCTACTGGACATGGGTGGATAACAAACCTAGTAAGAAATTTCAAATTACCAGTTTGAAGTGATTGCTGAAAAACATTAGTTTTCTTCTAATGCAATTATCTTTTAGGCAAGGATTTTAATTAAAAAAAAAAATAGTATGACTTTTTCCCCAGAGAAAACTAGGTTACTTTTGCCAAAAAGAACCTTAAACTTGGTGTCCACGCAGAGAAATCAGTGCAGAGAGGGAAGACAGCTGGGACCCGTCCTGCTGAGTGTTCCCACGATGTCGTGTGTGCGGTATCAGTGTTGTTGTCGTGGTATCTCGTGTTCAGTGACTGTAAGATTGAATACAGTGTCACGTTTAATTGGAACAGGAAGCACACTCTGGTTTGTGTGTGAGGCAGATAAACTGGAGCTGAAAGGCCAGTGGTTGGCAAAGGCCCAGAACACATGACTCCGGCTTCACGCTGCCACATGAGGCTCTAGAAGCCTTTGAGTGGGGCTGAGTGCTCTGTCCTGGGCTGGGATGTCCTCTTGCTAACACTTGGTCTGGCAAAATGACCACCCTTCTCTGTCTCTTTTATATATTCTGAGAGTCAGCTGCTCTTCCCATCTTAGTTTTCCTTTTCTGGCCTCCCTGTCTTCCTCCTTTCTCTCCCCCACCTTGACCATTCCCAACTTTGTGACTTGTCCAGTTCCGCAGAGGATTTGATTTTTGTTGGCAGTGCTGCTGCCGCCCTTGGAACGGGGTTGTGTGAAAGTGTCTGTGCCTGCACTCAGCGTAGCTTGAAGATTGTTATTTTGACCTCCCGGGTCATTTTGGTGGGTGGCTAGACTTGTGATAATTCTGAATAGTAACTTTGGAATTTTATAAATCAAAAACACAGAGCTCCCACTACAAGTTGAAATGTGGGAGAATGCCTCATGGGCTCTCGTGAGTCACACAGGAAGGAGGGAGTGGAGGACGTTATTGGCATTAATACACATTTTGCTTTTTCCCGCCAGGACCCGCTCCTGTTTGTTACAGTCCCAGTAGTCCTGTCCAGATTCTAGAAGACCCCAACTACTTTTTCCCAGACTTTCAGCTCTATTCTGGGAGGCATGAAGCATCTGCTTTGACGGTGGAGGCGAACAGTAGCATTAGGGAAAAAGTTGGTAAGTTCTTTTACTGGCACTTGTGTTGGAAAAGCAGCATAATCTTACAGTTATCATTTTTAGCTCTTCTGCATAATTTTGTCTCTATCCTCTTTTTAAAAATCAGCATATTGGATTATTGGTTGTCTCTTTATTGGTAGATGCCTTATTTTTAATTTTGTGCTATGGTGTTAATAGACTATTTTACTATAATATGTGACTCTCTCAACAGAGAGGTCTTAAGTATGTGGGAACTTCAGAATTATACCATTTATTCTCTAATTTTTCTCTAATTCCTAAATACTTTTTTGTACTCTTTCTTGGAATCTTTCATTTCTTTTTTCCTTCTCTGCTTTCTATCTCTTTTTGCAAATAATTCAGAAGTTCAGAAGAAATTCAAAGGAGGGAACTGCCTCCTTTGTAAAAACTTCCTGCCTATTTTTGAGGGCTTTTGAGATTGGTAAAACTATGAGGGAATCTTTAAAACCAGGGAAGGATCTCAGGGTTCTTGCCAGATGTGCTTATGAAAAGGGAATTCAGTACTTTTCATGCTCAATGAGACCCCATTCCTTTTATTATGCATCCAAAAAAAGTCATTTTCCTTTGGAAATATATTTTTATTTGAATTTTTATTAAAAAAATGTTGATTTTTATTTGAATTTGCTTGTTCCAGTAAGCCTTTCAGATCAGTTATCCTGAGGTTAGGACTCTCCTCTTTACTCTCCTACTCTAGCACCTGTCAGGATGCCTGCATATAACAGGTTGGCAGTATTTATAGAGTGAATGATGGTCCAGTTCAACCTACACTGATCTCTCTTTCCTTAGATTGTTCATCACTTATTACAGTTATTTGGCAATCTTGTGTGGACTCTCAGTGACCTGCTTTTATTGTTTAAAATTTTTTATCCCTGAACTTTGGGTTTATATCTCAGTTATAGTATATATTCTGTGAAGGTAAGGAATAAGTTTGAATTTACTCCACATGCTGCCCTATAAGGCAGATATGAAGTCTGCCCATTTTACAGAGGAGAGAGGTTCAGAGAAGCCAAGTAATTTGCTGGAGGTTGCAGAGGTATGATTTTGGAGGTAGACAGGGAAAGTGATATGATCAACGTTGAGCTTCAGGAACCAGTCTGTAAAGTTCTTTAATTTACTCGACAATTATTTCCTGAATGCCTCTGTGTATCAGGGTAGTGTGTAGGCACTGGGGATACAGCATGTGGATATAACAGATAAACTCGCTGCCCTCTGGTGCTTGAAATCTAGTAGAGGAAGACAGATAATAAATACAGTGTGGATTGAAAGGAGAAGAGGCCAGAGGCAAGGGATATTAGGAGGCCATTCAGGACATCTAAGCAACTAGTAGGAAGAGCCAGAACCTGGGGTGTGGTTGAGGGCATGGAAGCTAGGATTGCAATCTTTACTTTTTGCAAGGACACCAAAAGTATCATCTGCTGTCACCTTTTCTCATATATTAATACCAAAAAGAGTAAGAGACATGTAGTCCTTCACAGCCCTTGCCAAAAAAAGACAGAAAACCTAATGACATGTGTCTATGTATGTACACAGGTAGATATGTGAGTATATGTATATATCTTGTAAGTATATCACACTACCTTTGTTTTTTCTCTTTTCACTGTGGACTGAGAAAAACTAGCTTGGCAGTTGATTAAATGTAGGGAGCAAAGGAGACAAGAGGGTCAAAAGTGATTCTGAACTTTCTATCTGGATGACTCATATGATGAGGATGCCATTTATAGAAAAAAAAGGCAACCTTGGGGTAGAAAGACGGTTTTGGGGAAAATAATGTGTTCTATGTAAATATAAAAACAGAGCCATTATTGCATGGAATTGAGAACTGAAGGCTGCTTAGAGATGATCTAGTTCAGCTCTGTCAATTTACAGTTGAGGATATTGAGCTAAAAGAGAGAAGTGATTTGCTCAAGGTCATGCCAGTAGTAAGCAGTAGAATTTCTACTATCATAATGCTATATAATGTCCTCAGTACACTGCTTACTAGTACTATTGTGAAATGGGGAAAATTGTATATTTCATGGATCTAATAGTAGGTATTCTTTTACTGATCAGATGTTTGATCCCCCATTACATAGAGTCACTGGGTTGTGTGCTAGGGAGACCCAGATGAGAAGGCATGATCCTTGCCTTTTAGAGTTTAGACGCTCGTGTAAATAAATACTTGCAGTCTACTGTGATAACTGCTCTAATGGAGATATATACGCACAGTGGAGTTGGGGACATAGGAGAAGGAGGGCTTGAGCCTGCTAGGCTGCAGCAGGAAAGGTTTTACTGAAATGTAGCTTTGGAGCTATCACTTAAAGCATGTCTAGGAATTTCCCAAGAGGACATGGTAAGATGCATCTTTCTAGGCAGAGGGACGAATGCAAGCAAAGGCCTAGAGGCCAGAGAGAACTAGCATATCTGGGAGCTATATGTTCTTAGGTATTGCTGGAGCTTAAAATCCACGGGGTTGCCAGTGAGGGCCGGGTGGTGGTGGCATGAAGTGTTGCTAGAGAGGTAAGGCAGTACCTGCTACATCGTATGATAGAATATCAGTTTCCTTCTATAATCAATTATTGAGGAATTTTGTCCATAAGAGTGATGTGATTAGGTTTTCCTATTTGAACAATCTTTCAGGGTAGTGTGGGAGATAGGTTGGGGTCTGAGGGGTAGGTTTGGAAGTGGGAATGAGACTGGTGTCAGAGAAATAGATAAGGAGGCTGTTGGAATGGCCTGGGTATGAGATGCTGAGGGCTTGTAATGTTGTGGAATCAACATGGATTTTGTTGTGGAATAAGTCAGATCCTGGCTCTGTCTCTTCCTACCTCTGTGACTTCTGATTTACCTTCTCTAAATCTCTCTCCTCATCTGTGAGATGGGGGAATTAACTGCCTGATACGATTGTATGTGAAATAAACGAAATAACGTGGAGAGAATTTAGTTCAATACCTGGCACATCATATGTACTTTAAACGTGGTTCTTGTGGTTGTATATGGTTATTAATAATAAACTTGGAGCTTGGCATGGGAATAAAGAGGAGAGTTGGGAGAGATGTTTCAGAGGTAGACTTGACAGGCAGTCACTGACTGCATGTTGGGGGTAAGGGAGAAGAAGGAATTTTGGAAAACTCCCAGATTTCTGGGTTGGCAAAGAGTAGACAAGGCAGGGATATGGTGGTGAGGGGGGAGGTTGGGTGGGTGGGGATTGAGGGATGAGGAAGACATGTTGAGTTTGAAGGACTTAGGGGCCATCAGCTGGCGGTTATAGATGTGTGGGTCATGAGTCAGTAGTTGAAGATGGGCAGTGGATATGATGACTCAGGAGATTCTGTTGAGTGAGGGAGGAGGAGCGTTCAGGGCAGAGCTGTGGGAAACACCAGGATTTAAGGGGTGGTCGGAGAAGAGGGAGCCAGATGAGGAGTATACAGAGGGGCAGGAGGAGAGGTGACCTGGATGATGCCGAGTTAGAGAGCATTTCAAGAAGTGAGTGGTCAAATGTTTCAGAAAGGTTAGGTGTGTAATACGAGAGCTGGAAAATTCTCACTGGGCTTGGTTACTGATCAGAGCAGTAGGGAGGGCAGTGGATGGAGTATTTGGAAAGTGGAGACAGCGAATGTAGCTTGCTTACTGAGGACAGTTAGAAGAGAAGGGAGGGAGAGAGGCAGGCTGGCAGTTAGAGATATGTATAGGGCCCTGAAAGGCTGGTTTATTTTTGTTTGGTTTTAGTTTTTGCTTGTATTTTTTTTTAAGATGGGAAAGACTTGGCATGTTTATATGAGGAAGAGAAGGGGCCAGTGGGGAAATTGAAGGCAAGGGAGGGATTAAAGGATGGAGCCAGGTCTAGGGGGAAGCAGGAGGCGAGGGAATGGAGAGTAGTGGAGACACTTTGAATTGGAGAAACACTTGTTGAGAAACTGCAGAGTAAACGGAGGTGGTAGTGTATTTGAAATCTTGTCGTTAAACGCTACTGTGGTTAGAGTGTTAATTATTCACAACGTACGTACAGACCTGTATTCCTGTGGAACAGCCTGATGTCTTTTTTCCTATGTTTATCTTTTAGTTGAGGATCCTCTTTGTAACTTCCACTCCCCAAACTTCCCGAGGATCTCAGAGGTGGAAATGAGAGGTTCCGAGGATGCGGCAGCTGGAACAGTATTACAGCGGCTGATCCAGGAACAACTGCGGTATGGCACCCCGACTGAGAACATGAACTTGCTGGCCATTCAGCACCAGGCCACAGGGAGCGCAGGACCAGCCCACCCTACAAACAACTTTTCTTCCACGGAAAACCTCGCTCAAGAAGACCCACAAATGGTCTACCAGTCAGCACGCCAGGAACCCCAGGGTCAAGAACACCAGGTGGACAATACGGTGATGGAGAAACAGGTCCGGTCCACGCAGCCTCAGCAGAACAATGAGGAACTGCCCACTTATGAGGAGGCCAAAGCGCAGTCCCAGTTCTTTAGGGGGCAGCAGCAGCAGCAACAGCAACAGCAGGGGGCTGTAGGTCATGGTTACTACATGGCTGGGGGCACCAGTCAGAAGTCCCGGACTGAGGGGAGGCCCACAGTGAACCGTGCCAACAGTGGACAGGCACATAAGGATGAGGCGCTGAAAGAACTTAAGCAGGGCCACGTCCGCTCTCTCAGTGAGAGAATCATGCAGCTGTCATTGGAGAGGAACGGTGCCAAGCAACACCTCCCTGGGTCAGGGAATGGAAAAGGGTTCAAGGCAGGAGGGGGACCCTCCTCAGCCCAGCCTGCAGGTAAAGTTCTGGACCCCCGGGGACCTCCACCCGAGTACCCCTTCAAGACCAAGCAAATGATGTCTCCGGTCAGCAAGACCCAGGAGCATGGACTTTTCTACAGTGACCAGCACCCTGGGATGCTCCATGAGATGGTCAAGCCCTACCCTGCTCCTCAGCCTGCGAGAACAGAAGTGGCCGTCCTGAGGTACCAGCCGCCCCCAGAGTATGGGGTAACAAGGTGATTATCAAGCCTAGAGGTTTAACTCGGCTTTTCAAAATTCAGCAATCGTGTTTTTAGCAATCATTATTTTCAAGGCTTGTTGGGTTTTTTTGTCATCAGTTTTTTTTTTTCTTGTGTATAGTATTTAATAAGCCACTCTTTGACCAAAATATGTAGAGTGAAACAGAACAGAGGGCAATTAGGGATTTTCTCCAAACCTAACAGAAGGCACTTGGGGATTTACGAGTTTAGGGGAGGAGCCTCAGTTGTTAGCCATCCTTGGGAGCTCTGCCTAGTGGCCAGGCAAGGCAGCAATTTTCCTGGCTGGCTTTGTGGAGAGTCTCCAAACTTCTGGAACGTATTATGACCATGGAGTTTTATAGAGTCTTTCTTCACTGTAGGTTTTAAAGAAAGATGTAGTCTGAATGCTCGAACAGAGAAGTTAAAGGGACCATAGAAATCATATAGTCCCACCCCCTTATTCAACAGATGACCCACTGAAGCCTAGAGAGATTAATAAATGTCCACAGTACACAACTCTGAGGCAGCTGTATCCAGACCATCAAAATCTTTTCCCTCCATTGCCCTAATTCCTCTTCTGACTGATTGATAGATTCAGCAAAACTTACTGAGTGTGTACCCTCTGCAGCCCTGTACCAGGTTCAGAGATACAGATATGGTCCCTACCCTCAAAGACCTTATAGGCTTGTCTCGGAGGAAACCAGCATCTGGACACATCACTACAGTGCAGTGTGCTATTTTAATTTTTTTTTTTTTAATTTTTATTTATTTATTTTTTCCCCCAAAGCCCCAGTAGATAGTTGTATGTCATAGCTGCACATCCTTCTAGTTGCTGTATGTGGGACGCGGCCTCAGCATAGCTGGACAAGCAGTGCACCAGTGCACGCCCGGGATCCGAACCCAGGCCGCCAGCAGTGGAGCGCGCGCACTTAACCGCCAAGCCACGGGGCCGGCCCAGTGTGCTATTTTAGGATAGAAGTATGCAGAGAGTGCTAGAGGACCGGACAGGATAGTGTGACTCACAACTGGAGGGAGTGGGAAGAGCTTCACAGAGGAGGTGACATTTGCGTTCGGTCCTGAAGGATAAATAAGAGTTGTGGGGTAGAGGTGAGGTAGTAGGATGTACTGTGCAGGGGGAATGCCGTTTCTTCAGACAAGGTATTTAGGAAGTTTTGTCTGGAATGAGCTGCAGTAATGCAGAGCACTGGTGGGAGAGGGTATGGTAAGAAGTGGCAGAAGATGTGTTTGGATGGGGAAGTTGAGACCCGTTGATGAAAATCTTTGAATGTCATACTGTGGAGTTTAGAATTTATCGTAAGCATTGGGAAAGCCAAAGTTTTTGAGTAGAGACTGTGTTGATGTTTACTGGGCTAACTTCAATGGCAATGAAGGATGAATTAGAGGAGTGGGAGAATGGAGGCCATGAGGACCTTTGGGGACAGTTTCAATCATCCAGATAAGAAGTGCTGAGGGTGGCCTGGGTTTGAGGCTGAAGGTATAGAGGAGCATTATATGCTAAGAGAGGTAGGGACATAGAGTTGACAGGATTTCATGATTGGTTAGATATGGAAATTGAGGAATAATAGTGCAGTTGGAAATAAGGCAATTGGAAATCAAGCTCTCAGGAGAGAAATCGGGTCTGAAGATACAAATTTGGGAGTTACCAGTGTTTGGATGTTGCTGAGCTTACTCGGGGAGAGCACAGAGCATGAGAAGAGAAGACAAGTGGCCACTGCCTATTATTGGATATGTCTTCATTCCCACAAAGGGCTTTATTTATCTGTTTCTAATCGAAGGAGCTGAGGTTTCCCCATAAGACCCCAGTAGCTGTGTGCAGGGCTACGTTGGCTGAACATCTTCTGAAAAGGGAGTGACTGGGCCTTGGCAGAGAGAGAGCTGGCTCATCTGCCCACTTACTTCCCAGCTGCTGACACATTTCCCTGCATTAGGTTGGGAATGCCAGCTTTGAAGCAGTATACCAGCTTTTAGATCCCTGATGAGCAGCAGAACTCATTCTTCCTCAAGAGGACGTAGTCTGACCCCACTGGGGCATCCAAGATGGGACCCGGGGGCTCTTCTTCATACCCTTTTATAGTTTCTTAAGCCAAAGGAGAAATTTAAACTCAAAAACTATCAGGTTTGAAGAGGAAAAAAAAAAGTCTTCAAATCTCTGGTATTTGACTGCGTTGATTTACCATAGTTGTTTAAAATAATCCATAATGTTTATCCCAATCATATTAGAGTTTGGTTTGTGATATTTCACGTTTTTTCCTGAATGTTTAACTCAGCTTCCAGAGCTTGATAGAAGGGGATATCCCCAAATGAGGGCTCCTTCCTTCTCTTTTGCCTTACTATTTGTTCAATGGCAATGCATTAAGTGGCTCATTTGCTTTTTGTCCTTTGGCAGCAGACATGATATGAGGTGGGAGGCATGGTAAGAGGAAGAGGGAAGCACTTCTTGGAGGTCTACCCAGTTATTTGTGGAAAGTGTCATTTGTCTCAGAGTTATGACGTCAAAAAGAAGAAGAAGAAATGTATGAGGGATTTGAGCCAATTGCCAGGCTTGGCAGCTGGGTTGACATGACACATCAAAATGTCCCAGAAGACATAACAGACAGGCCATTGAAGCTGGCCCCAGAGGTACAAGGCCCCTTTGTGAGCCTGACCATGGCTAGCCAGCATGGCTCCAGTGGTGCAGCCCTTGGCTGACGGGGTAAACAAAGTTGCATCCACACCAGCCCTGCTTCAGAGGCATCCAAAGTGGCCTAAACTCCAAGGGTTGGATCTGAAAGTCAGCAGTGTGTGATGTTCAAGTTATCTTTGACTCAGGAGATGAGCAAGGCTCCATTTAATATCACTGACACATTCATTTGTGCTTAAAGGGTTATCTGTTTGTCATTAATAGTGATGGTGTAGGAAGCTGCAGGCTCTTGAGTCAATATGCCGTAGACTCCTAGAAGAGAAGGAGAAGCCTCTGAGTGAGATCACTGAGTCCATCTCCTTGCCTTGTGCTGCAAAAATGGGCTCAGTGTTGTGAATATTCAATGGTTTTGGTCCAACCCATTACATTGTTGAGACTTTGCTACTTTTTGCCTAGAGACGGAAAGGTCCAAAGAGACAAGTGAGGCAGAGCATAGAGCTTATGATAAGAGGAGTAAGAACGTGGAGTTCTTGCCTTCCTTACTGACTCACCACAGCTTACAAATTCTCTTACCTGCTCTGATCCGCTAAAGATGGAGATGTGTGGTGGATTATTGTGAAGCACTTTAGGCTCCTTTCATGGGAAACCCCATGGAGAGGCCACTAGTCGAGGCCTAGTTGACTTGTGCCACCTTGGCCCTCGTGTGGGTGAGCTTGTGAGGCTGGTGGAGATGGAGGGACTAAGGTGACCATGCCCTACTGAGGTAGCCAGTGGGGACCTCCAGGGAACATGAGCCAGCAGCCATGGATAAAGGCCCTTGTTTTGTTCCTCCCTGATCTTCCTTTTCCTTCAGCCTGAAGGTGGAAATGGATATAAATGAAGACAAGGTGAGAATTGGACAGTTTGTTCTATGGAGAATTGTGCTGCTTTTTTTTTTTTTTAAAGCAAGTATTTGGACGTTAATTCTGACTCCCTTTGTGTAAATAGAGCACTCCAGAAGTACTGACTTGGCTTATGCAGTCTGTACTATTAATGGAAGAGAATGCGTGAATGAATACCTGTGGAGGATCTGATTTTCATCAAAGCAGTTTGGAGTACATTAGTCAAATGCGTGTTTGTTTTCAAAAGAAATCTGTCCGTATTTCCAAAAGTGGAAACTAAAGACGCTAAAAAATTGCTTAAAATGTCCTCCTTTCTTAATACAACCACTGTTAACATTTTTTCTATACAAATTAATTTTTTCACATCTTACAATCATAGATTATATGCAGTTTAGTATCTTTGCTTTTTTTAGATAGTATTGTATCAGGCTTTTTTCTTTTTTACAATATTTAGTTGTCTTCGTAACCATCCTTTATGTTGCTGCATAATATTTCATAAAGTATATAATTTATACCATTTTCTCTATAAATAATCTAGTGAACGTCATCATGCATATCAACTTTTCCATATTTTGTTTACTTCTTTAGGAATCATTATTTAGAAATGAAATTATTGGGTAAATTGTAGTGAGCATTTAATGACTTCTGATACCTGCTAACTTTGTAAAAGTATTACAGTGCCTATTTCACTACACTTTAACAACATTAGTCATTATAATCACAAAAACTTTGCTAATTTAATAGACAAATAATGTTAACTCCTTATTTTAATTTGCAGTTATTAGCTAGGGTAATTTTTAGGTGAGTATATTTTACTAGTTAGATTTATTTGATCTTGAAATTTGGCTCTTCGTGTTTTTTGTCCATATGATCTATATATTTTAATAGATTCAGAATAAACTAAAACCATTTTCTCTGACACTTGCTGTGATTTTCCAGTTTCTAGAACTCCATCTCTACCCTTAGCAGGTAACAGTGGAGCAGCGGTGGTGGTGGTAGCAGTAGGACTAACCCTTCGAGTGCCTACTGTGTGCCAGGCACTTTGTGTGGGTCATCTTCACAGCAGTTCCGAGTGCTGTTAATGTCCCCATTTTAGGATATGGAGATTTAGAACATGATAAAAACGTAGGCTTAGCAAGAGAGGTGAAAGGAGCTTAGTCACGGGCACCAGCCTGGAAGTACAGGAGCCGGGGTGCAAACCTGGATCTCTTTCATATGACAGCTCCCATGAGTGCAAACACTTGACCACTGTATGTTACTGTGCAGGTGAAGATTCAAGTTTTTCCTTGGTGTCACTTATTGGTGAATTTCTAATCAGATTTATATATCACACCTGAAGTCCATCCCCTGCTCTGCCCACCTCTGTTTTTTTCAGGAGGACCAGAATACTGATGAAGTATTCCAGGCTCCAGCAAAAGTCCCCTGGATATCCTTTCTCTCAGGTATCCTGGAAGACTTAGGAGCCAACTTGACCT